CGAGTAACCTTGAGTCACAGGGCATAAGTGAATTTCAAGGACGGTCAGGACTCTGCTATATCATATTATTCGGTGGGAGTGCCGATGAAGCAAACGTATGTCTGTCTATAGCAGACCATGTGGTTAGTGAGCTCTTCGTCAACTTTATGTAGGCGACGCTAGCACTGGTTATGCATCTGGAAATGGTGGATTCGCAGACTGATTGGGCGCTTTTGCGGGCACTTCATTCGAGAGTACATTGGTCGGGATTACGTCAGAGCCTCTTAATCTCGTTGATGAGGGATGTCTTCTGACACCGTCCTTTTACCTCGAATACACGACCAGGCTGCAGACGCGATGAAAATGGGGCACACTGTCGGATCGCCTAATTCAAGAAGCATGTATGTTCCTTATTCATTGGTTAATTACGCTTGGCAACAGCGCGAATAGAACCTAAGGAGTTACCTGAAGTTACTGTACATAATGTGAAGACTAAATTTGCCACGAAAGAAGGATAGAATAACTTTTTTGGGTTTTTTTCTGCTCGAAGTGATTTTGATCTCGGGAGCCTGATTGCTGACGATGAGTACCGATTGTCACCCGGCTTCCTATGGAATACGACTGTTGGCTAACACCTCCACGGTGTGGGTAGTAGTGGGACTGAGGAGATGGTGAGGCCAAGTCGAAAATGCCCTCCAGTCTAGAGGAGAACAGCATAGCCAAATGAAAATCTACGCCAAAATTAGGGTTTGAGAAGATTCATTAAATCAGTAATGCCAGTGTAATTACAATATTATTAAATACGATGAACGTACGGCAAGTATTAATGCTTAGCTGACAGACTTTAGTTTACGGTTCCAATCCCAACTTCCTGAATTACACATACCAAATGATGCATTAAAAATGGTAGTTTTAAGCTTTTATCTAATTACCAGCCTGTGCCAATGTTGACTTCGTGCCCTTGCATACACACAAATGCCATAGCGTACACATAAATGCACAAGAGTACACTCAAGTATACCTTTTCACATATTTCTAGATTGGCTTGTGCCGTGAACCAATCAAATCACTTTATCACCCACAACATTTCGTATGATTGGGATACATGCACAGGGTATGACGCGACGCTGGTTCGTCGACTTGACTCGTTTGCTCGAAGAAGTGATGAGAATGGCGCCCAGTTTTAAGGATGCCCTTCGAGTGGCCTGACTGACGTTTGTAGCCAGAACCAGTAAATTTAATGGAGTCTGTCGACACAAAGCTTCAGCATGAATGATCCGGCGATGGCTCCACAAGGTTTGCCATAAGTGTCTGCTGAAAAGGGGAAGTTGAGAACCATTTTGTCTCGGCATTACGATCCCCATCTGTGGGGCGAGAAATGGCAAATTGGTTTGGTAGACATAGAAAAAGAGCTAGTTTCCAAAGGATCCCATAATAATTTAATGCGACTCTAGATGGAGGCACGAATTGGCTTGACCAAGTGAAGACTGGTGGCTTGCACCCATGAACCCTCTGCCCACCTGATTTATCCGCGATGAGCCATCGTCTGTTGTCCGACAATTTGGTGTATTGGAGCAATTTTTCGTAAAATATGCATTTTCGATATTCCCAACTCCGCCATAACGAGACAGAGGAGAGTTCAGCACAGAAAACAACCGAACGAAATCTGTGGGCAAGTTATTCATGGCTTTGGGGGAATATTGAGAAAGCGAAGCTTGCAAAGTCCACTCGCATCAGCCTCATTCAAGATCTACCGATATCCTCGAGACTACTTAGCATGCATTTAAGTAGCATAGCGCGGAAAGCCGCAAATACCACCGCATTTCAGGTCGTCTCAGCAAATTATTTGCAGACCTCAGTTATGCTGAACGGTAAAAATATATTTGCATGCACACGATAACAAAGTTAAGGAGTGGGCAGAGATGGAAGGCCAAAGTAGACATCCAGGGGAATACTCTATGGCGCGGGCACCAATTGGGAGCAGAAGACTAAGTGAAACGCCAAATGACACATCCACCTGAGACTAGTCGTCAAGCTGAGGTGGGAGAGGAATTGGGCAGCATCCGCAGCCCCAGGCGTGCCAATCTCGCCTCGGTGGAGGTTGTGAAGATGAGCTCTGCTTAACAGAAGGTAATAAAAACATGTATAACTTTCATTCATTTCTTTAAGTAAGACAAAGCTGCCGAGAGTTCTATCGCTGTCTCTATTTGATGCTGCTATCCAACGAGCTTTTGAGAAATATATTCTTTATTATTTTTAATGACTGATTTTACTACACAATCTTATCATGTGGACAATTTACTATTCATTGTCTATGGCAATACAGGTAAAAAATGCAGTTAATTTATGAGATTATTGACAGTAAGCAGCTTAAAAGACTTCAAGTTCGTCTTGAATGAGGACTTTAGTAACCCAAGGTTAACTTTTTCCACCATGTTATAATTAAGTCCCACGACGCCATTAAATTTCGCTTACTTTTGACTTTTAGAGGGTTTTCGGGTCTCATCAACACCCCTGACAGGGCTCTCTAATCACATTTTTAATTTTTAATTCATAAGCGACCACGCTACTTGAATGCTTAATAAGTAGACTTCGAGACAATATTATGACAAATTTGCTTTCAAATTAAATAATTAATCCGGATTTAATCCGTCTGCTGCAATTTTAATTTAGTCATAGTTCATTCATTTGTAATTGCCCACGTTATCGTACATATTCAGACTGAGATTTCGATTCGAAACAATGCTTAGTGCGAAAAATGAGATATAGTGGCCTCTGTTCTTGTCGCAGATTCCTTTCGCTGTATAGACATAGTTTGAATTTGCTTTCACAACTTGATGGTGCTGTCAGCAATGTTATAGAAGAGGACTTCGTACAAGATGCGTTCAGCTACTTCGCCCTGAAAATACGACCAAGTGGTAAAAAAAGAGGGCAGACTACTTCTTAGAAACGTCACTGGATTTCGGTGTAACTTTGGAAATATCAGTGTTTTGGTGATTTACGTTTCGAAAAACGACGGATTAATTCAATTTTTCTGTGGTTTCCTGATTTTTTTATGACACATTGGTTGACGTTATTCACGGTTCCTGGAATTGTCGGCAAAATGGTTCTGCATATGCTCTTCTCAGAATTTCTGTTCAGGAGCTTGCCACAGATACACGTCAGCTCAGCACTCGTGCAACTCCCGGGTTGGTCGCCATTGACGGTGTCCTGTTCGGTTGTTGCTCGAGTTGGTCTTGCGTTGGATGAATGGTCGCTGCCACGAGAATAATATGGACACCAACTTATTCTTTTCACAGACTACTGATCCTTCATCTGGAGGATGAGGAGATGGCGACTTTGAGTGGGTCTCTAGACACAGCTTGACTAACTAAGGAGCATCGTGTGATTCCAAATGGTTGGATAAAGCAACATTCCGGCCCAGAGATACGCGACAAGTATGCGTTTTCCGGTCAGCTTGTTTGCAATTTTGAGCCTTCAATCCTGTACGAGGGACTACTTGCATAATTCTCTTCTCCATTGACACCAAAATGATACGCCTGAATAATTTTGGGCTCTAGCATACTCTTGGCTAACATTTTTTGGGGTTCCTTGAAGATGACCTTATTGAGACCAAGTGGTATCTCCTTAGAATTTGGTGAATTTTTCAACCGTCGGCTCGCCACAACATGCGATAACATCCAACAGAGTAAGCTATATGATTATGCAAACAGCATGTACATTATAGAGACTTGTTTTAACGGCCGATCAGCTCGTCTTCTCCGATCGTGACCATGGTTCTCCCGATTTCATCTCTGTTTAAAGATTCATTTATCATATGAAACGATCTCCTTAGTGGAAAATATCGTTTCTATCTCCTACTGACTTATTTAAACGATAAAGTCCGAGGTTAAACTTTAGATTGACACATGACAAAAAATTTTGATTGTTTTCATTTCCTGCTGTGGCGCAAAGTGAAGAGCTCCGTGGGCTGATGTCACCTGAATAAAACGATGGAGCATTAATGAAATCTCAGTTTTAGAGTACTGTGATGAAGACTGACTAACAGTCATATGAGATTTATTCATCAGATTTCGTTTAATGTGATGAATTTTCCCACAATGGTATGAGTAGAGCTGACATTTGCATTAAATTTCACACAGATAAGTGGTAGAAATTGCATTTGACTGGAAAGTCTTGTGAAAGCAATTGGCAACTTGTTCTCCGTTCAATTGAAGAAGGAAGTGGGAATACGTCGTCAGCGCATCATCCTGCAATTGCGCTAAATCCTTTCTTTTATTCCGTTTGTTCTGCCAGAGCCTAAAACCATTCTTCAAGAAATATCCTTTAAGCAAAAGACCATGAATGGAGACTGGCTGTGATTCTATCTACCGTATTTAGCCTAAATCGCAGACTTCCTATGCAAGAAAAGCAACAGTACGGGATGAAAACGCAAGTGACTTTGGCGCAGAGACAGCAACCTCTTCACTCATCGGAGAACCTATAATAGAGGCATGAATTGGACGAGCAAGTCAAGAGATCGAGTTTTTCCAAACGCTTCATGCTCTGACGGCGTGATCCTCTGAAAGACAGATGAATTCTCGGCAGGACTTCCATACTCAACTAAAGTGATAAATCACAGTCACTTCTCCTCCGGCTTCCGATTAGACCCATTTGCGAATACCTTCATTGGGAAAGAGATGCTCGTTGGCAAGAAGTTGAAAAGAAGCTCTTCGAGACCCCACTTTCTTCTGACAAACCAAACTATGAGCAAAATGCTTGCTAAGCATGCCTTTAGACTGGAACAAAGTTGACTGGACCGGCGTAATTATCATTCTCTAATCTCCATATGAGCCAGACTATGGCAAAGTGAAATGTGGAATGATTCGGTCAAACTCCCTCTCGTCTAATGTGTGCGTGTGTGTGCTCATTGTGCAACGAATTGTGTGTATGAAACGCATAGTGATAGCTTCAATTAGGAGAGGAGGCGCAACATCCTCCATAAGCAATCAAAAAGTGTAACAGACTTCAGCTCATCATATCTCATCTTTGCGATCGTATAATAGGCGAGACCAGTGTTATCGGATTGATAAGCTCCATATGCGGGCCGACTCGTGCCTTTGCGT